TTGAAGCACTCTGATCATAAGAACTTTCTCTACCCTAAAGGATGGCAGTCAAGTAGCCAAGAGGATTTTTCCGTTTCAGCAATGCCAAATCTTCCTTAGTATGAGACCCTGTCGAAGTAACCCTCTCGTTTACAATACGAGCCACATTGGCTTCGACAGACATCTGCACAGGGACATCTTCAACACACACAGAGTTTTTGGCTCCCTCCATGAGGTTTTCCCTCTCATCAGTCGCCGAAATATCTCCAGTCTGATTCCCTCCTGCCGGTGTATTTTCCTTCTCCGTTTCGACCACATTATCAACAACCTCCTCTTCCCCATCCTTCTGTCCATCATCGTTAGCCTGCAGAGTCCCAAGATTCACATGTTCTTCACTAGGAACTTCTTCATTAGGCTTCCCGACGGCTTCGTGCCCAGAAGTTTGGTTCACTTTGCTAGCAGAACTCACAAAAGATCCTTTTGTCAAAGAAGTCCTGTAAGTAGGATCACCCTCACTGTTTATTAAGGTGACAGATTCTTTTACAAGGTTCAGTTTTGAAGTACCAGCGGTGTCCTGAAGATTACAAGATGGTTATCAGAACCATTGAAAAAAGAAAAAGAATTCGAAGCCAGTAAGAAATCATGAGGGATCGAAGTAATTACCTTAGGCAGAATTTCAGCGTTGGGACTTGAGTTGTCCCTCTCACTAGAATTGTTTAGTCTAACAGCTATCTCCTGCTCCGTTGGTTCTCTGATGATGACAAGAGGAGGTCTCGACCCAATGACTTTAACCTTGGCCTTGGTTTTTGGACGAGGCTCAGGAACATGGGCTAGTTTCTTTAACTTGTGTCTTTTTAGGGGGATAGGAGGAGATTCTTCGTCTTCATCACTGGAAATTTTAATTTCTTGAACTTTCCTTTTCTGTGGATTGATTTCAAATGCCCAGAAATAAAGGAGTTGAGGGCATTAGCGTCAAAAGTAATATGTCGGAAAGAAAGATATAGCAGCAGAAAGTGTTTACCTTTGGTGAAGGTTTCACAGAAGGGTCTCCTCCCTTTGCGCTTTCAGCGACTTTCTTGGTGACGGTCCTCTTGACCGCTAGAAAATGAACAAGTATAAATTAGATGTCGAATGATTAGATTGAAGACGATAAAGACATTTGTTTTGAGAAATAGGATTACCCTTTTTTATCTTGTCAGAGACTAACGTAAACGCCTCTTGAAGATGAGCGACGAAGTCTTTTTCGTCAAAAAATTCTTCGTTATAATACTGGTTCCACCAGTCTTCGAAAAGAGGCGAACACAGGAAATTGAGATTGAAGTCGTACAGAGTTAGTATGGTTCGACCAACGTACCTACCAATATGCTTGGTAGCAGCATCCTATGAATAGTCTGTATTGTAAAATAGCAGAAGCTTTTCTCGGGGGTAGATTGGTGAAGGGAGTGTTTGGATAATACCAAATTATCGAGAGACAAGATTCGGTTGATAAGAAATTAAGCTAAGTTGACTCTTAGAACTCTTGAATCTTAGAGGCATGATTCTCGATCAAAGAAACGACTCCCAGATAGCTACATATTCATCCACATGGTCATCTTCGTCAGACAAAGGATATGGTCGAATGAACCATTCCGGGCCAACCTTTCTACTAGCAAAGGGAGCCATGGTCGAAACAAATTCCTTCTGCTTTGCAAACATCATTACAAAGCTGGTAAACGCATTTTGGAATTGTTGACCTTCGTCAGTTGGAGTCAACATGACTAATCTAGTCCCCTTCTGTTCAGGACCTCTGGGGCCCTCTCATTAATCTTATTCTTCTGCGGAAGAAAAGATTCAAAAGTGGCATTTAGCCAAAGTTGCAGAAGCCAAAAGGGTCCGGAAAGGAGTAAACTCGCCTTGTATCCAATAACCTTAAGTTGAGTCGCACCACTGCTGATGGACTCATACAGGTTGACTAAAATCAACTCAGCTAGATAAAGACGATAGTCATGGTGAAGTTGTGTTGCAAGAGTAAGCATTTTCTTAGTCACTTGAAGTGACTTGGTGCAAAAAACAAAACTAGATAACCACAAAGCCAGAAAAGCTATATGTTCCACTTCAGAGACAGTGGTACTCGATTTGTCGTGGAAATGATTGATGCATATGGTATACGTGGGCTTTGTGGCCAAAAACCCGATAGGATCTTCAGATAGATCCTCAGGGTCGAAGTAGTCACCCGTTGGTCAAAGACCAGTAATGACGGATATATCAAAGAGAGTTGGAGTTACCATTCCACAAGACAAATGGAAGGTAAAATATGTGATGTCCCAGAAATACAATGAAGACACCAGCATGAGAGGGCAATAAGTCAACCCAGTCTTCGACAGCATGATCAAGTCATAGATCCCCATATCTTTCCAGATTTGGGCTTGTACTTTTTCCATCTTGCTTAGCCATTCTGAGTATTTTGAAGTAAGACTAGGGCAAGATCGAAAGATCCTATTGCCCTTGTTCATGAACTGAAGGTTGATATCTTTCTTCGTTTGAGAATGTTGCGGGTTGGCGGGGGTTGCATTTTCAGGATCATTCTTGGGTTTCTTCGTACAACCTATATGCTTGAGCCTAGGGTGAGTTGGGAAGAAGTTGTTATTTTGTTTTGGGTTCTCGAAACATGTAGACAATGGGCCAGACATAACATACATCTGCCCAAAATATCTAACAGGGATAAGCAACTGGGAGTCATAAGCCTCACGCCACTCTTTGGCCATAGGTTCAGATACGACCCTTCGTTCCCTAGTCAAAACAGGTATAGGGTTAGTGGAGAAAACTCCTGGTTATCTTTGGAGATCATAAACGTTCTTAGTTTTTGGATTGTTGGGTGCATTGGAAAGAAAAGCCATGGTTAAAAATAGTAGTAAAAGAACGAAGAAGACGAAGTTGTTAAGACTTTTTCTTTGCAAGGAAGTGAAGAATACTAGGAGTTGTAAAAGAATTCCGAAGAGAGGATTCGTCTATTTATACTGTTTAGGGAGAAGTGTTTTCCCTCAAGACCATTTAATGTTGCAGAGTTAGTGGGGAACGCAGAGAGCGTTGAAGCCGTTATCGTACGAGTAATAAAATGTTTACCATACTTTCCTAGGTTGTAGGGATAATGGCCATCATGGCAGCGTGATAACGGCTGATTGACAACGACGTGTTGGGAAAAAAGGTAATGATGACTCCAAATACCAGCAATGGTTGGTAGAAGGCGAAAAGCACACAAGCGATTTATGTGGTCAAAGAGAAGACAGGTGTCGAATGGGAATCTCAAAGAATGGGAATCTCAAAGAATGATCATCTCTCCTTGCGTCGAAACTGATATTCTTGGGGGGCAATTTGTTAGCTCCTAAATTCGACACCTACAACAAGTTGGTCTTATGGGCCAAAAATAGATTGAATAAGTCTAAGTTGGAAAGGCTTCGACATAGTAGAAAAGTACTTAGAGAAATTCTAAGTTAAAATGAGTCTTTGACCAAAAGGTTCTCGCATCCTTCGACCGAAAGGGTCCCAAGGTCTTCGACTAGAAGGAAACTTCGTATCTACAATAAAAGATTTTGAATCTGAAGAAAGGAGGGAAAAGCAGTTCGCTTGGAAGTTGAGGAAAGCAACGTGGCGTGAAGAGAGAGGTCGAGGCGCATGCAGAAGACACTTGTCTTCATCCTAGAGCAAGGCAACTCCTCGACGGTTACCTAGTTTTAGTATAAATATATGAAGTTTGTGTAGATTTCCGTGTGTTCAACTGATCGTACAAATTATTCAATACTATTCAAGTACCCGCTGCATGAGAAAGATACTGAAAATGTACGTTTGAAACACCATATTTTACAATCAAAGTCTTTTATTTCTCTTTTTACATTTCTTGCCTTTTTATCTTGTATGCACTTTATCTGCACTTTTACCCAGATTCCTGCACTTAAACTCTCCTCAACCCCTTTTTTCTATTTACTTTTTGCACTCAAACTCATCCCTTCCCCGTCGAACGAGCGTTCTTCACTTACATTAGCATTTATGTCCAAACAACATAAAAAATTAGCATATGTCCTAGGATCAAACTGATCGATCCTGCGAGTAACCAAAAAGTTAGCCCTTTTTGAAAGATCAGTGGTTGTTTACCAGAAAACACGGTGAACAGTACTGCTCGCCCTCCGTTGACAAAGAATGGAAGCTTGACTTCAACAACCATGAGTTGAAGACTACCACTGATTTAAGGGCTATGTGGAGAACCTTTTCCGTTTAGAATCAAAATTTCCAATCGAGTTGAATGCGATTATTTCGAAATCAGTCGATGATATTATCAAGATGTTGCAACGTCCACGTGGATGATGAAGTGTAATGTTTAATCGATGTTAAGTGTATTTCAATTTTATTTTTCTACATTTTATAAGACATTATTCCAAAAATATATTGTTGGTTTGATACAGGAAATGTAACTCCGAGAAAGCCTGTGTTTTATTACATTTTAGTACGTCTCAGAGATGTATCTCTAAAATTTAAGAGCATTTAAGTATTTTCGCGCGGTGTACTAGAAAAATATAGAGTATATTAAAAAATTTCCTTTTTTTAAAAAGAAAAAATACAAACTTATGATTAAATAAAAATAAACTATTACAATGATACTAATGAAAAGATCACTACTACTTGATGAACAAAGACTCTTTAAATTACAGATTTTGATTAAAAAATTATATTCATTTTTAAATTTTCTTATTTATTTATTTATATTAAATTTGAAACTTATTTATATTTCTCTCTAGATAAAAAAAAGGCTTTTCGAATTGAGAAAAATAAACGCATTTTAACAATTTGCCTTAACAATTAAAAAACCCTAACAACAAAACTCGCCAATTCCATGAAATCTCAACCGATAAAGTGCAGATGCTGCTGCATTACCCTTATATTAGAAACAAATCGGAGTCCCACTGAAGTCGCCGGAAAACGAAAGGTTCGCCGGAAAACACAGGCCGAGTTTGTCATCGGTGAACGGAAGGTCGCCAGAAACAGTGAGAATGTCCAGGTGTTTCTCTTTTCCTTTTTCGGAAATTCGAGAATGTGATTCCACCACGATTTGCAAAAAAATCGCGTTGCGGAAAAGCACTTTTCCGCACCGCGATTTCGCCATTGCGCGCTTAAATCTTAATCAGCATGTTTTACATCATACTTGTGTTCTCTAGTTGCATTGATTCAGTTTTGTATTTTGTCTTAGAAGCTGATTTTCTGTCATATATGATATAAAAGAATTTTTCGTTAATGGAAGAATCTTTGATGTTTATAGGCTTTCGATTGATTTCACTATGAAGAGGAAAAGAAGTAACGTGTCACGAAAACCTAGGGCTAATTGTGATGCGATATTTAAGAGATACATTGGGTGGTTACCACATGCTGAGAATGAGAGTGTGAGAGATCCAGTGGTTGTTTCTGATGGATTAGGAACTAATAACAAGTTGAAGAAGCTAAAACTCAAGTTTGGGGGTGTTACTCATACTATTCATACCAAGTCTGGTTCTGATGGTCGAAACCCTAAGGTGAATGTGAGTTATTTTCATTCAAGATTTTTATTATTCGTTTAGATTGATTGAATAAATTTGCCAGTTGAAACTAAGATTCTTCAACTTTTGGTAGCTGAAATAAGTATTTGCAAAAGCAGCTTCTGGTGTCGTTTCTATGACTTCAAAATTCGATTTCAATAAGTTTATTAAGTATTTGCAACCATATTTTTGTTTGACAACTTGTTATTGACCTCCAAAGGTTCTTATCTATCAGTTACCAATGCATGCAGGACAATGCAGATAATAATGGTGCCCGGTCTTTTGATAAAAAGAGAGAGCTTGGGGGAAAATCAGTTAAGATCTCAACTGGATCTTATTTTGCAGCTGAGAATCATTCACATAAAAGAAAGACAACTGGACAGCATTCCCGGAAGAGCAAGCAAGTTACTGAGAGATGTTCCTTGGGCGTGGGATTTAGCGACGAAGAGGGTGAAGATGCAGAACTTCAATTTCTTGAAAAAATCAATTCGTCAAAAAGATCAGCTAGTCGTTATAAAGATAATCAAGGAGGCACAACAATGCGTGGCATTTGTAAAGATGCATTAGAGAGGAAATATGGGGATCGGGACTATGTGGAAGGAGTCCCAACATCAAGTGATGAATCAATATTAGAAGGGAAGAAGCCAAAGAGGGAGTCTGTCAATATGGTTGTACCAAGAAAGCAATCCACCCGCAGTAATCGTAATTGTTCAGTTGACTCTTTCAACGATATGTTATCTCGGCCGGTCGCAAGCATTATTGACATCTCAGGTTGTTTGGTTTCCATATTATTTTAAAGTGATAATTTATTTATTTTAGATTTTTTATTTATTTATATTACTCATTGATGGTATTTTAGTTGCTTTATCATTTGAAGTCTTATTTAGAGTATCAAGATAAGAAATGAAAAGTTAGAGATATAGCAACAAGCCTTGAAAACACATGGTTTTCGCCCCAAGCATAAGTTTATAGAGTTTACGAAGTACAAGCTTAGTAAAAGACAGAGGAGTTCTAACTCAGGAAAAAATAGAAAAACATACAACACTGCTAGTCTTGTGTTTTAAGGTCCTTGAGTTCATGCAAAGTGATGAGGAGGTTGATGGAGATGTAAACCATTGGATCGAAGTGGGATGGTGAAATAGGTGAATGCTTTGAATGTTATATGAATATAAAATAGACCTGAAGCTTAAGTGTTGACTGTTGACTCATAATTTTATTACATAATAACTATTATCTTATGTCTTGATTGACATGGTACACATGTCTCTAGGAATATTTGTTGACTCTATTTCCATTTTCTTTGTTGACAATAAGATAAAAAGGCCAAATTGTCAGAGGAGCAGCTAATCAAGAAAGCCGAGGCCGCAAAGAGACGAAAAATTCAAGCAGAGAAGGCGGCTAAGGAGGCTGAGGTTTGCATTTGACTTTGCTGATCATCTTAGATCTAGGAATTAAGATTTTAGTGTAGCATTGAGATGCAATGCAACATATATTCTAGATAATGATGTTAATAAATTAATTCTCCTATTGTGTTTATGCAGGAGGCAGCCATTAAGAAGATACTTGGTCAAGATTCTGCTAAGAAGAAGAAAGAGGAAAAGATGAACAAGCGCAGGGATGAATTAGCAAAGGTCTTGATACAATTAATGACCAACATTTTTCCTCTTAGCATATTGTTTCAAGTTATAAGTTCTAACATGTTGGTTGTGCAGGAAAAATCTAGCAAACCGTTTCATCTAGCATCTAAAACTGTTCGATGGACTATGGGTCCCAATGGGACTGTAGTGACTTTTTCTGAAGACATGGGTCTACCAAGTATCTTTCAAACAATACCGAACAGGTACAATTTTGTAACTTAATCTTGCGTTGTAGGGAGTTTTTATCTTCTAATGAATCGTCTTGTTATCCTTGATTTTCTTTTTTAGCATTTTATTAATATTTTACATGCTTTAGAAACTTCATTTCTGTATGATTATGTTATGAATTGTTTCAGTTATCCTCCCCCAAGAGAAAAGTGCGCAGGTCCAAACTGCACTAATGCTTACAAGTATCGGGATTCAAAGTCAAAGCTTCCCCTTTGTAGTCTTGGTTGTTACAAAGCAATTCATGGAAAAATCTCTCCTGTGGTTGCATGTTAATCCTTGTAAATAGTAGAAAACTAGATTTAGACCTGGGAAATGCTTGGATTATATAGTGGAGCAAATATGAGAAAATATGTAGTTAGATTTGATTTTTGCCTGAAGTGTTGGCCAGGAGGATATATGTGCTAATGTATGAGAAATGATTATATTTGGCTCAATTCTGTTATGTTTGTATATTCAATTATTCATTGTCTTTCTTCTCATGGCAATCCACACCCTTGGACATTTATTTAGAGGTCATTTAGACAGTTTATGTTTTAAAATCAGTGTCACTAGGCTCTATAAAAAATAAGGGTAGGGTTTATTTTTTAAATTTAATATTAATTATAAATTTTAAAGATTAAAAATAAAAAGAGAAATGAAATAATAAAAGAAATTGGTGAAAGAAAATCAAATATTTATAATATAATATGATTGTACGGAAAAATATATTACCTTAGATTATTGTTTGTATGCGTGACTTGAGATTGTTACTTGGTGAGTTTTTTTCTAGATAAATTTGAATCGTAAGCAATACAAACAAACAAATGGCATTTGAGTAAATAAATATTTAACTTTGAATTACAAAAACAATTTTTAGATGTTATTTTTGAAGGTTTTAGGGGAATTTTTTAGCAATAACTAAGTATTGAAAAAAAATACACAAATAATCATGTTTCGGAGAAAATTATACAAATAACTATGTTTCAGAAAACTCAACAATGGAGGAGGCAAGTGAGATGACGCATGCATTCATCTTTTTGTCCTAGGCGCCATCTCACTTGGCGCATGCATTTTATTTTAGTCAAGTGAGATGACGCATGCACTATAAAAAGGAGAGGAGGCGCCATCTCACTTGGCTATTACGTGCAATTGTGTTCTCTATAAATAAATCACTCATTTCTCTGTCATTCTTCACATTTTTTCGCACTGTCTTCTTATTTTTTCTCTATTATTTACGTCATGACATCTCCCATGATTTTCACCAGAGACGGATACGTTATTTTCTCGGCCACCAAACCTCTGATGAAAATGAAATTTAGGCACATTCACTTCATGGAGCGTCTGAAGAGAGAGTTGATGCGATGGCTAGAGGGAGACATCGAGGCTAAGGAACAAATTAGAAGGATCCAAAGAAGAACAATCACCTCAGTTGCAACTGGAAGACCTAATTTTTAGTTGGAGAAAGTTAAAACAGACGGAGACGTAATGGTGCTGATGCATGGCTCAAATGAAATTGTTTTGACGGTTGTAATTTCTTAGACGTTTTATCATATTTTTATTTGTTGTTTGCGTATGATTTGTTGTAACAAATGCTCTTAATGAAAAACAATAATGTTTAGAACTTAAAAAAGTGCAGATGGTTTGCATATAATTTTTATGTTGTCGAGCTTGTAGCCTGAGTGGGACAATTTTTTCGATTGCGTCCGACCTGACGACATAAACCACACTATCTTTCTAGCTTGTCAAGGGAGTCCATTTCAGTTGTGATACACTTGCTTTTGGGACGATCCTTTGTATTCCTTTGCATTTGACCGTTGTGCCATACTATTTCCCCGTCGTATGCAAGCCAATAATCAGATTTCGCTACCATTAGGAAGCCATTGTTGTATACGTCGAGCAATGTTTCGGACTTGTAAATGGGATATAGAAGTTGTAATGCGTCTTGATGAGTATACACACATACCGTAATGACATGAGAGCAAGACATACGAAAGACATGAAACTTGCCACAATCGCACCAACGAGATGGTAGTATAACCCTATACTCTTGTCTTAGCAGCCCCTCGTTGTGGTCGATTGTCTATTTGACAATGAAGTTGTGGCTGTGTCAGTCGAACCTTATAACCAGGTGGGTGTTGGCTTTGGCACTTTCTGCCTTAATATACTTCGTACAACTTTCACTTCATAGTTGTCCCGATTGTAAGACTGCATTCCATATTTCACCTCTTTTGGCAAACAACGAAGCCATCCTAAAATATATTGATTTGACCAAAGCGGTTACCGGGAGGTTTTGTATTCCTTTGAATACGTCGTTCGTGGATTCAATAAGATTTGTTGTCATGTGGCCCCATCGTTGTCCATTGTCATATGACCTTGTCAATTTCTCCGCCGGAATATTATCGATCCACCTACTTGTGTCCGGATTTGACAATCTGATCTCGTTGTGATAGTGTTTGAACGAAGGTTGTGTTAATGCATACCCCGCATTCATAACTATTTTCCTAAGAGCCTTGTCTTTGATCTCCCTCGTGAAATTTTGTACGATATGTCTAATATAGTAGACATGCGTAGAAGGAGGGTCATGTCAACCGTTTGCAGGATTATTATATGCACTCTCAATGGATGCATGTCTGTCGGAGATCAAACAAAGATCGGGTTGAGGAGCCACATGTGTTTGAAGATTCTTGAGAAAGAAACTCTAAGCACCACCAGTCTCTCCCTCGACTAGAGCAAAGGCAATTGGGAAAATATTATTGTTGCCATCTTGTGCAACTGTCACCAATATCGTGCCTTTGTATTTCCCGTACAATCATGTTCCATCAATTTGAATAATAGGTTTGCATGACGCAAACCCTCTGATGCAAGGTTGAAAAGCCCAGAACATTCGACTGAATATTTCATTTCCGGTGACATGAGTACCATCTCGGGTGTACACCGACAATGTTTCCATAATATAAACAGTTCTCGGAGAATACGTCTGAAGTGCATGCATGTAACGCGGAAGTTCTTTGTATTACTCCTCCCAGTTTCCATATACCTTTTCAATCGTCTTGGTCTTGGCTAACCACGACTTTCAGTATGACAGAGTATAGTTGTATACCGTAATGATGTGAGAGATTATGATTTTCACCTTCAATGACGGATCATTGCTGACGAGAGGTAGGATTTCTTGACATATGAGATCATAATTTAGTTTGCGATGATCCCGTGATTGAGTAGAGCTGACGCACGTGTGGGTGGACATATGACCTATCACCCAACAATCACCTCTTAACCTGTATGATGCAGTGAGCCTGAACATACAATCTGGGTGAACACACCTGAGCTTGTACTCTTTCTGGATTTACCGGATCTACCTTAAAATTGACAAAGTTTAGCATGTGAAACTTTTTTATAGCTCAAATTCAATCTTCTCTATTACGCAATTTATCTTTCTCTTTTAAATTTTCATATGACTGCATATACGGGTTGAAAAAAACATCAGATGATGGTTCATCTCCGTCCATGTTGAAGTTTGTCATGTGTGGAGATGGTGCGTAGATCTCATCGGAGGTATTCTAGGTATCCCATCATCTTCAAAATCATCGTTGACCATGTCGTCAAACTCTAACTCGTCATCTTCCTCTTCTTCGTCAACGACATCTACTTTTGCTTGTTCGTCTTCGAGAGGATCAATCACTTGTGACTGAGTTGGTCGTGACAGTTGAGGCTCCTGCAGCACAATGTACAACTCAATCGAGTCGTACCCAGAATACTCATGATTGGAAAACATATTTTGAAGGTCCTCGTCATCTTGAACCTCTAACTTATAATATATTATTTGATTCTCACCAAAAAAAAAGGATTTTGATAGAAGATTTGTGTCGCAGGACCTCGTCCAAGTTTGACCTCAAATCGTTTTTTGAAATACAAGAAATTGGCTTTCCTGTTTAAACAAAATCGAATGTTCTCAGTGTCTCCAATCATCTTACATGCATGCAGAAAAGTATGCCCCTAGCCTGCCACCTATACTGCCACCTACACTGCCACATATGCTACAACTAGGCCTGCCCAACACCAAGTTGAATGACACATGCTCTCTAAATTGCATGTAGGTGCCATTTGACTTGGCGCATGAGTGGCACGTATCATGCATGCATGTAACCACCAACCACCTTATTTATTCACTCTTTGATATAATTTTGCCTATAAATACAACGCCTGATATATTTATTTTGCATCAACAATCATCTCACTCTCTGATACAAACTCTTTCATTGTCTTATACAATTTCAAATATGGATTTTCTCACAATGGACAATTCTCACAAAGGCACAAGAGATAACATTGCGGCGTTTGTAAGTTTTTATAAATTCTCAAATATTCTTGTATATTAATATATATTTTATAAAATTATTATTTATTTAGTGATCTTATGGACTCTTACACTTTTTACATTTTGAATTTAAGATACTAAAAGATTTAGAATTCGCTCACACAACTACATTGCTCCCGACCCGTTGATTGTGCCCTATCGCGAATATGCGAGTTTTGGAAATGTTATAAAAATCTCAAACTGCAAGATTGATTCCAAATTTATACTTACAATGTTGGAAAAGTGGAGACCCGAGACACACATATTTCATCTACCAATAGGTGAATGTATCGTCACACTAGAGGATGTGTATATGTTATTGGGTCTCCCTATCGATGGTAAGACGGTTAATGGGTCAGTTTAACACCCAATTCTCTATGCGAAGAATTGTTGGGCAAATATATGGTAGAAGGTAGTGGTGCTAGAGGCCAAGATATATTACTAAATGAACTCAAAAAACATTATGCGACTCTTGACTTAAATGAAATTTTTTCCGAGCTAGCAAGAGTAATAAAAGCTAAAAATTATATGATGATACTATTTAGAAGCTTGTTATTTCCCGAAAGTACAGGGAATATTGTAAATTTTATGTATTTAAGTTTGCTTAGGAACTTTGAAAAAACAAGAAAGTATAGTTGGGGTTATGATGTTTTAGCCCATCTATACAGTTCTTTGTGTAAAAATGCAACAAAAGAAAAATGTACTTTTTATGGATGCGCTTTCTTACTCCAAGCCTGGGGTTGGTGGAGAATGGAGTCTCTTAACCCCGTCAACAACAACACATTAATTTTCCCATACGCAACAAAGTAAGTCAAGAACTTAAATAATTTATTATTCATCCTTTCGCCAAATATATGTTTAAAATAAACTATTTTACAATTCCTTTAGGTATTGCGTAACGGGTATGGATTACGGAAAGAATCCAAGATTCAATGTCGCTCTATGCCGTAATCTATTGGATCACCTTGGCCCGGATGATGTACGTGGTAGCTTTAAACTTTTCTACTTTTAAATCATTTATTTTTTACGTTTTCATTATGCTGATTTAATTTTATCCACAGTTTATATGGAGACCATATTTGAGTTTGGACCATGAACCAAACCCCGAAGATGCAGCAGTTTAGACTGAAAAGGACTGCAATCATACGGTTCAACATTGTGGAGATGCACCACAACGACTGTGTCAAGATGCTGTTCGGAATGCATCAAGAGACACCATGCGATCCAACTTGTTTGTCACCCTGGCATCTCAAAAGGGTCGACACTCAATGAGGTCTTACTAATTGGAAAGATTTTGCTCTAGAATGATGTAAGATGTGGCATAAGCGTCACCAAAATATCTTGCAATTCTCTGTTTTCCTCAACCAGAATAATATGCGACACACATATCAATATTTTGATTGGTACAAATCGATTAGTAACCCAGAAATGCACATGTCTCATCCGAGATATTTGGTTAACCCACGAACACAATGAGCACAAACCTCAAATCCGCAACAACAAACCCAACACACATCAACCTCCCACCAACCACCCCGATGATACAGATCCACAACCACCCAACCCCAATCACCACCTCAATACCAATACACCCATATTCCCCACACCCAACCCCAATCACCACCTCAATACCAATACCATATGCCCCACACCCAACCCCAATCACCACCTCAATACCAATACCCCCATATGCCTCACACCCAACCCCAATCTCAATCGCAATACCAATACACCCACATGCTCCACACATAATTTCAGTCTTCTCCATATCCCAATATGGACCCCTCATCATCTCACCTTAGCCCTGATCTGGGCTTTCCCGAAGAATATGATCCAACCGACCCAACTTACCATCAACCACCACATCACCATAGCACCCAACAGTCGCAATACCAAACACCACAAGATTCATTTCCTTTTTATCCCCCCTTACTCAGACGACCAATGCTATAGGCCATCCATGAAACCCCACCCCCACAAAGACGACCAAACTTTGAGGGCATGAGTAACCGACTGTACCAAAGCGGATCTTCCAAATATGGTGATCTGACCGATTTCATGGATCCTGAACGCATTGACTTCGCTGGGCCATCGACCCAATCACAACAGGAAAATCAACGAAACCCACCACGAGATAGGCGAGGACGCGGAACCACGGGTTGATACCGAGTTTCGGGGGACCACTAATTAATATGTATGATTTTTTTCAACATATAATCGTTTTTTGTTAATTAAAAATCAAAATTTCGTGAAGCTATATCGTTTACCTGTTGTCTCTTATTTAAAATAGAAAGCAAAAAAAATTATTCTTTAATTGCACCTAAGCGCTATCTGAGATGGCTTAGGACAAACATGTTGCACCTAGACGCCATCTCACTTGGCGTCTCCCTTTTAAATTTAGGTGTATGCGCCATCTCATTTGACGCCTCTATTGTGAGGTTTTCTGAAACATGATTATTTGCGTAATTCTCCCAGAAACATGATTATTTGTGTAATTTTTTTTCAATAGTTAGTTATTGCTAAAAAAAAATTCTAAACAAAGAGAAGAACATGCATGTACTTTTTAAGATATCCTATGAATGATATTTTCATGTATTGAAAACAATTGTTATTATGGTTTTAGCTGAAAACTTAATGCACGGTAACCATGAGATTCTTTCTTTTAAGTAGCTAATCCTAACTCTTAATCTACTTAGGAGTCTCTGTTTGTCTTATTTACAAGAGGATTATATCTTGGAGTCATACCTTGGCTGAAGGGTGTGCATTCTTAGCTCTATCTATTTTTTATATTTTCTTTTTAAAGATGTCAGATAAGGTTTGGAAGATAATTGTCCAGCTTTAAAGGAAATTTCTTTGAAGTGATGTTAAAGGTTTTTCTAAAATCTCGAGTTAAATGATCTTATATTTATAAACTCATAAGTAGAGGAGGATTGCGTGTTTGTGATGTTCGTCTGGTTATCAGAACTCCTTTTGAGAAATGATATCGGAGATTGATTTTCAATGTCACTGGCCTTTGGCATGACATCCTTTCTACGAGATATGTGATTTGGATTGTTTCCTCTCTTTCTGGAGGAAGATCTACTTGTTACGGTAAGTTTACTATATAGTGGAAGAGGACTCCCTCATAAGCTCGAACCAAGATGTCCATTCCGACTAATCATTGGACAAGGTCAACCGCTTTGAGAGCTATTTCCTCCTAAACTCTTCCATATTTTTGTTCAGCATGACCAACAAGTAGGAACCTTATGTCATTCAGAGGATGAGGTCTAGATTTGGGACATCGGATGGAGAAAGAGGTTGTTTGTATGAGAGCAGAAGCTACTAAACTTGTTTTTGATTACTCATGGCACTATTTTCACGGGACCATTGGGAGCGAAAACATTAAAAGAACATTATAAGCTTTTTTAGACAATATAGTATGTTCGATTTGTCATTGACGTCGATAATACATAATTACATGACATAAGTACAATAGCAGGGTCATAAAATATCGGGTTTGTGTAGGAGTGCAAGACATTCCTAACGACAGCAAGGAGCTAAAAATCTTGATATAGAACCATAACATGCACAATGAAAACACCTAAGATTCATTCATAAAAACTGCTCCATGTTCTGTAGATTTAATGAATTTCTTCAGCAGAAGAACCATAATTGCTATAGCAAGTCCAATAGCTGCCAGTGTGAACAATCGGTCATCAGGTTTTTGAACCCTTGTCTCTGGTTTCAGATTTTGAACCCTTGTCTCTGACTTTGGGGGCAACTGATTCGTTGGGACTACTTCGGGTTGAATCTCATTTGACGCTTCAACTCCTGCAGGGTTAGGATTAGCAATGACAGGGACTTCTTGTTCTTCAACTATTTTGTCACCTGCTTCATCTGGAATCCCCTCCCCTGCAAGTAGAGCCTCAGGATTTGGCAAAGTAACTAAAGTCTGGGCTTCTTCCTTTTTGGGTTCTTCAGAAGCCTGTGAAGGGCTAGGTTGAGGAACTGGGTTTGCTTTGCTTAGCATATAGTCATGAATCTGTGATGACAAAGTACAATCAGAAAAAGGTATCGTAAAAAATTGATCCAGGAAAAAAACCAACGAGAACACTTAACCTGGTATGAACAACATGAGGAATTGTGAATAAATATACACTGCAGGAAAAACAACAAGCAACATTTACCTCATCAATCAGTTTTTGACGCTCAGGAGTCCCAAATTTTGGAGATGCTTCACGAGATTTAATGGCCAAGGCACGCCTATCTTCTTTTTTGTAGTCTAATGAGCCTAATGCACCATTTGGGCTGGTGGGCATGAATGCAATCAGTGCAACTAGAGCGGTCCTTACTGTCATAAGAAATTTATATCAGTTAAATGGTAAAAGAGATTCTTCTTCCATCAAAACATGAATCTTCAAAAGTAATGTAAATACTAAGAGGGGTTTGATATATTTTATTTGAGCTTATGACAATAGGTACATTGAGCTTAAGAAAATGGAGTAAGTACTAACTAACACAAGCATTTGAAAAAGCTTTCATTTTGATAAACTGCTTTCAGCTTTGCAGAGTTTATCCTCATTTCTCTTCTATTCTAGAAACAACATATACATAAGAAAACAATACAGATACACAAGATAAAGAAAACAATACAGATACACAAGATAAAGAAAACAATACAGATACACAAGATAAAGAAAACAATACAGATGCACTCAGTCAAATTTAATCCAAGGGGACCAATCCCCCACCACCCACTAGCGGGGTCCCATTTAAAATCAAAGCAACCTCTGTATGGATTGACCAACACAGATTGTTAGCACCTAATGGGATTCAATTCAACCAGTCTAATTAGTGGAGAGCAACAAAATCAAAAAGAAAATTATACAACAAGCAATCTAATTGTTAACATCCTGCAATTCTTCTATGTCCAAAATAAGCAATCTAACCATTAGAAATAGAGCCAACAAATGTGCTCCCAAACATGAGTTGAAACACAATTATTCACATGCAACTAGTCATATGTGTAAATAAGTACTCACCACTCCATGATGGTTGCCAATGCTCAGGGTGATGATTTGATATGCTCAAGCAAATCTTGGTTTGGGTCTCAAAACGACCATTAGGCTGATAGCATAAGGCATATAGTAATTCAGTTTCATTTACAGCCCAAAAATAAATTAAGCACAGCTACCATAAACACGACACCAACATTGACAGGTTCACACCGTAATAATTTGAAAAAATAATATATTGTGTGTCGGTTTCAAACCCATAACCCTTTTTTCAAAGGTGTCGGTGCCAGAGAGTTAGATAATCTAGAGAGGAAAATCTTACAGTCAGCAACATAAAGGAAGGAGGTTTGAATGGATATTCAGCAGGCAATTGAATCCTTCCATGATAAATCCCACCTTCAAATTCAGTTTCACCAGGTCCCCTAATTGCAAACTGCCATTCAAATATATTTTCCTGAAACCAAACACAAACATCAATAAATCATTTCCGATTTCATCTTCAAAATCATAAACCTAACAATTAAAATTATCAGAATCAAAATGAATAACAAGAGATCGCAGAATGAAAATTGAAAACCTTAAAACGAAGGGGTAAAAACGGAAAAAAAGAAAAAAGAACCTCGAGAGGCAAGCTCATGAAATCATCAGAAGGGTTCGATTGCATTTCTTTGACCTCTTGGAGAATCCGCTTGACGGCGGGATTCTTCATGTTATACTTGTCCGCCATCTTTGAGAATAGGATCTGCGAAGCTGCGAATTCGACGGATTGGAGGTATTCCGGTGAATCAACGGTGATCGGAGAAATGGATTCAGGTGAATTCTCGGTGATCGGAGGAATGGATTACAGAAAATACATGGTTGTGTTTGCGTTGAATTGGTGAGAAATTGGGGGAATTTGGATCGGAGATTATATAGAAGAAGAGGGTGTTAGTTAGCTCGTGTGTCCGACAATGGACACGTCATGAGAAGTGTGTTTGCTTACGTGTCATTCTTTTATCGGATGTTTGAGGCTGATGTGTTTATTGGGTGAAGTTCTGATTAACCCTCGAAGCAAATTACTCAAAATTTTATTTATTATTCTTGACTTAGCACTATTTTTGGAAAAAATTTCTACAATAATCATATTTTTCAATTAGTTATGTAAATAATTCATTTTCAAAATATTTACTTAAATAATTAGATTTGGGGTTGGAAAATCGTGTTATGTGTTAAAATTAGGTGAATTATGTGTAATAGTTTTAAGACATGTCTTCTCATATGACCCCTATGTGTATGTGATTTTTTTTATAAATAATATTAAAAATTAAACAAAAAAAAAGGATACTATTATATAAATAAAATAACCATTACATTTGGGAAATAAGAAATACATATATTTTAATGTTCTACGGCGCTCTCATAACTTGTTGACCTACAATCCTTTGAGTTTCGTATTGTGTCTTGGGTAGATGGCGCTCTATTAACTCGTTGGCCCGCAATCCTTTAAGGTTTTTGTTGTGTTTGGATCGATGGCCCTTGTAATACCTCAATGCCATCAGGGTCCATGTAATCTGTCATATCACTGTATTGTCCCGAGTACCTGCTGTCAAAATGTCGGTTGCCCATGCCGCCAAAGCTTTGTCGTGGTGGAGGTGGTGGGTGATTGAAGGTTGATCAGTAGTACTGGTCAGTTGAATCGGGTTGGAAAAAATAATGTTTCTCGTGGTGTCTTGAAGCAATATGGTTGTTAGGAGCTACAGTGATGTGATGTTTGCGTGATGAGTGGGTCGTTTGGATTATATTTGTCAGCTTTGCCCAAGTTAATGGTGAGATATACGACTGTGATACCATCGACTTTCTATTTCGAAACACTGCGAATATGCATTTTTGTTTAAGTAGAAAAGAAAATTTTCTCCTATTTCAAAAAGAGATTAGAGGCAAAACTTAAACGTGATCCTGTGTCACAAATTTTCTACCAACGTCCTGCTTTTTTTAGAACAACCAAGTCAATTTTTTTCAGGTTGAGATTCAAGATGACGAAGATCTTCAAAATACTTTTTGTAATCATGAATATTCTGAGTGAGACTGTATAGAGTTGTACATTACCCTCCAACAACCTCAACTATCATAGATAATTGAGTGACAAGTTCTTGATCCTTTTGTTGAAGAACAAGTCGAGGTCGACGATCAGAGCTGGAAGTTGATACATGGTGAACAATGATTCTGAAGACGGCGAACAAGGTCCATTGCCTCCAGCTCATATGTACACACCACCCGCGCACATGACAAACTTGAACTTGGATGGTGATCAGTCATCATCAAATATTTTCATTTAAAAGAAGAATGTGTGTGAGCTATAAAAAAGTTCCATATGGTAAAACTATGTGAACTTTAAGGTAGATCACAATAATGCGGAGAGGTACAAAATTCTATGTACAAATAGGGAGTGTATATTTAGGCTGGCATCATCATACATGAAGAAAAGTAATTCTTAGGTGATAGGTTCTATTTCTCAAGACCACACTTGCATTACCACCAATATGTCCCAAGACCATCGTAAACTAAGTTATGATCTCATTTGCCAAGAAATGTTACCTTTGGTAAGCAATAATCTCTCATTGAATGTGAGTACGATAATCTCCCATATCGTTACATCATACAATTATATTCCCCGTGCAAAAAGACATGGTTAGCAAGGACAAAGGCGAGGTTTTCCATTACGTCCCTGTCATTTTTGACATCCTCCTACCAACGTTGAGGTTTTTTGGTCGCAAGTGAGGTGGCTGTTCTTTGTCTATGAATTCTTCTAATGACTTCCCCATCTTGGATATCCCCGTCTAACCATTGACTAAACCTTCTCTTAAGATGCTCTATGGAATGGATATTCCAAAATTTCATTTTAATCGGGGGTTTGACAACAGAGAAACAAACATATCCATCCCTTTTGAAAATCATGTCACATGCCATGAAGAAGAAATTATAGAGAAATTGAGAAGAGGTGTGAAAAATGATGGACAATAGAGGTTTTATTTATAGAAAAGATCATAACACATAGGAGTCATTCCGTATGCTTCCTTTTCAGACACATTTCACATAGGAGCCACTTGAAGCGGCACCTCGCTTTTCATATGCACATATAGAGCTGTCAAATGGGTTGGACCGACCCAACCCACTTTGGCCCGATAGGCTAAAATATTTAAATGGACTGGCCCGGTCTAGCCCGATTGCTTAATGGGCTATAGAAAATGAACCTGACCCGTTTATCAAAGGCCCATGAAGCCCAATGGGTTAGCCCGGACCGTATTTCAATATTATAGTTTTAATTTTATAAAAAAGGATGTATTGGATAAAAGCTACATAACATAAGTAGAGAGTCATCAAAAACTTAGTTAAGTGTTGTTTAAAATATTTATCAAATCAAAATCCAATATATATGAATGTCACAAAAACATCCATGTAAAAGTACAGTGTAACTCAATATTATCACCAATACTTATCAAATTTTCTCTTCATCTCTTAACCATTTCCTTAATCACATCATCTTGAAAATATATCTTCATCATCTTTAACTTTTCTTTATCACTTGAAAACACACTTATGCAATCATATCTTATCTTAATCTTTTTTCCCCAAAATTTACCAAAATCTTTTTTTAATGGGCCAGCCCGAAACCCGCTTGGTCTGGCCCGGTCCAGCCCATGAAAAACATAGGCCCGGTGGATTGGGCTAAAAAGACAGGGTACTATTTTTTAAGATATTTTATGGCCCGATTCGTGCTAAATTATTGGGCTTATGGGCCAGCCCGATGGATCGGGCCCATTTTGACAACTCTATGCACATAGGCGTCACGTGCCATGGTGTGTACACATAAAAAACAACATAGGCACCATGAGGAATGGCGCCAACACTAAAACTAGTTTCAAAACATGGTTATTTGCGTAATTTAGTAGAAAATATGGTTATTTAGGAATTTAAATTGAAAAAGAAATTTTAATTGAAAAAGAAATTTTAATTGAAAAAGATGGTTATTGTGGAAATTGTTTCCTATTTTTGGGATGTTTCTCAATTTTGATTGATGGGATAGGATTTAATTGACATGTGTCAAAGTTAAATAGATTTAATCTACTCATTTATATCTATATTTAATAATAAAAAATATTTTCTCTTTGATTTTATTTATAAAATAATTTATTTTTAAATTCATCAAATAACAAATATATTGAAATAATATATTATTTAAATATATTAATTATTCAATATATTTAAATATAATTTTTTTTATAAACAAGATTAAAAATATATGATAATTTCCCGTAATTTAATTTTAATTCTTTAAATTTTTTTTATCAAATAATGATTTTTATAATATATGACATCAGATTAATCATCTATGTCAATGTTCATTAATATAATCCGATGTGGCACGTCACGTGGAATATTTTTTGATGATTTGTATACGTAGCAATGTTAGCGTGACAAATATGTTGACGTGATATGACACATGGTTAAGATCAACATGATCCTTGAGACCATAAATGATAGATACGTCGTAGCTGTAGCAAATTTAATTTCTAAAAATTCAAATACACAATTCTTTAATTTTTTTCATCCTTTCATGATTTCTTGCATGCATTTTTATCACTTTATAAGCACCTCTTCCATAAAATTGGAGTTTTTTTAATGTGCAGTAAATTGAATATGAATTTCGTTAACGAAAACAAAGCAAACATTAACCTATAATTAAATTTTGAGCTAATATAACTCAAGTATTTCCCTCATAACACATAAAAAAGATCCACAAAGTAGAAAAATTGATAGGTTAGGTCATTTGGGCCCGATTAAAGTTATATTAATCTATAGTTCCTCAAGTAGAAGGCATTTGAGGGTGATGTGTGTTGAGTTGTAATTCTTCATGTCGAAACAACATGTTGCTTGACAGAACAAGGGTGTGTTGAATTAACCTAGTTTGCATGTCGAGTTGTATTAGATGTCGAAGTGTTGAAGCAAGTTGCTTCACACAAGATTTCGACTTAGACCAAAATAGGTATTTTGGGCTTTTGGATTTTGGGATTTGCTTAGGGAGAAAGCTAACCTAAAACTATAAATATAGGGAGTAACTCTTATTATTAAACACATATTGTATTCACATAATTTACAGTTGCAAGTGAATAAATATTTTCAACAATTTATGGGCAGACAATTACTCTGCAGAAAATAATCTTCCTTCTTTCTTTCTCTATCTTTTATTCTTTTCACTGTTATTGTATAGTGATAACAATCTTGTTCATCAAGATTGATAGAAATTTATCAAGGTTTTGATGGATTTCCAACATCTGGTATCAGAGCTCCGATTAAGCGATTCAAGGCAAGAAAATCACGATGGCAATGAATCATCCAAATGGGCATTTTCCAACAAGTCTTCTGATTCTGAAAGTTGATAACTATGAGAATTGGTGCAAGCAGATGAAGGTTGTGTTTTGTTGTCAAGATCTTTGGGATCTTGTGAAAGAAGGGTTAGAACCGCTTAAATAAAATGCAACAAAAGAAGAAGAGACTGCACACAAAGAATTGAAGAAGAAGAATTATAAAGCTCTCTTTGTAATTCATCAATGTCTGAGTACATATAATTTTGAAAATATTAGTGATGTAGATTATGTGAAAGAAGCTTGGGAAATTCCAGAAAAGTATTTTGGAGGTGCATAAAAGGTGAAAGAGGTGAGATTACAAACTCACAAAAGAACATGTGAA